CTCCAGCGGACTGCAAAACAAATGAACTTCTGGGCATATGTATTTCATGCTCGAGCGTGGCTTCCTACGCTCGAGCGGAAGTGTAAGACTCAGAGTGTACGCTCGAACGTAAAGTCCTCCGCTCGAGTGTGGATCCAAAATCTGGAATTTCCAGATTGAACCTCAAGCACAAAATTCAACTTTTAAATCTTCAAATTCGATCCTTTTGGGCTAATTTTCTAAAAAACACTATAAAACCCATAATATGACATGTTTCAAAGATCAATTTGCAAAATCAAAACCCAAAGGTAGATCAATTAAACACAAATTTCAAATAAACTTCAAGAACAAGATGTACATTCAACATGCATGTATTCAATTGAATTCAAAACCTCTAACACATGATCAAATGAGTCAATCCTTTCAAAAACATGATGAATTCATGAACTATAACTAGGAAATGGACATGCATGTGAGGATTTCATGAAAAACAACTTCAAAACACTATGATATGAACATGCATGCAACCATAGCTACTCAATACAACATTTAAAGCCATAATTTGACTCTAATCTCCAATGTTCCCATGAACCATGCAAAGTACAACTAGAATTCACAATCAAGAAAATAATTTCCTACCTTAGGTTTTGAATATCAAGGTATGGAAGCTCAATATGCAATTATCCTCCAAATCTTCTAAGTCTCCAAGCCAAATTCTTGATAAACTAAATTTCCTCTTACTCTCCCTCTCTTGCTCACGATTTTGCCCTCAAGAAGATGAACAAATTGACATATAATCAAGTCTCAAGATGATTTATGAAAGTGGCCCACTAATGGCATTTTGGTAATTTACTTGAACTAATGTGATTTACATTATTGAATCCAATTTAATCATTCCAAATCAAATTTAAGTTAAACCCACCATAAAATCACATAAATCCTAACTAGCATATAATACTAATCAATTTCTGATTCGGTCGCTGATAGGGCCTTCAAGTTGCAATTCGAAATCAAAATATGAACAGGTCATTTAATGACAAATAGATAGAAATGCAATTAAAGCAACATACTCATGCAATGAGTCCAGAATTTCAGCTTAATCAATTACTTATCATGCTCAATCATAGTTTAACACTAATCAGAGGTGAGGGTCATTAATCGGAGATGAGGGTTGTCACAGTGGGTCTACTGGGGGCGGGTAGTAGGGCAAAGTCAGTTAAGACTTTGTCTCCCAGCGGTTTGGGACGCGGTCGGACTCGTTCCCTCATCACCAATTTAGGGGTAGGCCCCAACTGTCTCTCCTTATACTTGTCCGCTTTGGCGAACACTCTCTTGCCTTCTGCCTCCTCTGCCTTCCTCTACGCCTCCAATTCCTCCCTCGTAGGATCCTCCTCCGTCGGCTGCAGTCCCAGTCTCAGGGCAAAAAGAGTTGAAGGAAGGACCAGATCATCCTCCTTCTCCACTTTCTCTTCCCTCCACTCCTTCATTTTCTTCACCCTGTTTTCGGCCTCTACATCTAACTTTGGCTCCACCGATTTTTGTGGGAACTTTCCATATTATGCGAACTCCTCTCGCACCATTCGCTGATACATAAAACCATCTCGGCCTCCACCCCTTCACCGAAGATGGCAAGCCTGCCACTAGACCACAACCCGCCACTACTTGCAAGGTCACCCATGTCTCCTGTTAACTGGACGCCTTGTAGCAGGAGAAGAATTCCTCTACCGTCATTGTCGCTCCTCCAGTAGCCTGCGGCCAGGCGCTCGCACAGGCCATTAGTATTTTCCAAGCGTTCGGCATCAACTGCCCTAGCGCCACATCTAGCTTGTTAAGTACGTCTACCACTATTTGGGAGAGTGACAGCCTCAGACCCCCCCGCAGTACTTCCTCGTATAAGGTGAATTCTGCCAACCGTACATCCGACGCCTTCTCCTTCGACGTGGGCAGCCTCAACTCTATTTCCTCAGGAATTTGATACTTCCTCCGTACCTCCTCCAATTCCTCCGCCGTGAAGGTAGATCTGTCTGCCTTGATGTGCCAGTGGTCCGGCTCGACTTGGCTAATTGGCCTAGCGGCCGCAATCATCGTTGTTGGATGAGCCCGCGCCCCTTGCGCAACTCTCCTCTCCTCTCTCTGCTCTACTCGATACTGTTCCGCCAACTCCACCGCATCGTCTTCTCCCAAAGAGTCTAGTCTTATGGTTGGCACTTCGTCTCGAGCCATTCCTCCTACGTGTCTGCATATAGCTTCGGAATCTGGCACAAGGAAGTTCGCAAAGTGTTGCAGAGGCGTATCACACGAAACAAATGAGTTCACTTCTAAGACAAGTTGGTTTTTTACGATAAGGTAGGTAAAGCGTCCAAATGCCCACGGTTTGCCTATATTCTAAGGGTCAAGATTAAATTTCGCCAATTTGAAAATTTTTGAAAGCATCCTGCCCGCGCCTCTTCAACGCCCTATATCAGCCTATCCTTTCATTTCTTGCTGACGCATCACTTCCCTTATTATGGGATTGTGCCACGTGTATGAACACGATCTATTACTCACTCCCCCTTCCCTGTTTGCTCCACTTCACATCATCACATGCCACGCCGCGCCTCGAGCCCCGCACGCCGCCATTCCCCTTCTCACCCAGTCACCCTCCACGGTTGGCCCTCTTCACAGTCGGCCTTCTCCCTCGGTCACCCTTCGCGGTCGGCCCTCCTTGCAGTCGGCCTCCTCACTTGGTCACCCTCCGCGGTCGGTCCTCCTCACAGTCGGCCTTCTCCCTCAGTCACCTTTCGTGGTCGGCCCTTCTCACAGTTGGCCTCCTCACTTGGTCACCCTTCGTGGTCGGCCCTCCTCGCAATTGGCCTTCTCACTCGGTCACTCTTCGCATCCGGCCCATCTCCCAGTCAGTCTTCTTTTCGTCGACCTCCACAACCCCCGTCTTCTTCCTTGTTCCCTTCCTATAGAGGTTTTTGGCCTACCACTTAGAGCCCAATACGTAATTCAAATACTAAAGCCTAACGTTACTGGAGCCTAACGTTGCACCAAGGGCCAATGACATCTAAAAACGTGTCAAGAGAAGAACCAATCACATAAGCAGACAAAGATCTTGCAGAGTTGTTATACCACACATCAGCCATTAATGAGTTTTCTTGCAGCATTTAATGCGATAGCCCCTTCACATCGGAACAAAACGGCCTCACCATGAACAAGGCAGGCTAGAATATAGACTTTCGGCCAACATGACAGGTCAGAGTGGATAAGGAAATGATGAACAAAAGATATAAACAGGTTTCTAAGACAAAGAGAAGGTTAAGTTCTTTATCGCCATCCTATCTCTATATTCCGTTGATCTCTCTTCTCTAACTTGCTCGTTGGAAGGTTCGCCGGGGGACTCTCGTTCCTCGTTGAACTCTTGTGTAGGTTTCTCAATGGGTCCAGCGATCGGACGACGACGTGGGAGGCCTGGATCAGCCCGACTCGTTCCTTTAGGATAAAGGGTAACATCATAATAAAATGTTTAAGTTTAACCTCACAATTGCTATTCATTTTAAAAAACAAGATGCAATTTATTTATGTATTTAATGATATCCGATAAAATTAATTTTTTGCATAACTCATCTAAATTATTGGGATTACAAGATGAATGTTTAGATTATTATTGTGGGCCTAGAATGGAACCCAAAAATAAAATATGAAGAAATATAAAGGATAAGAATATGAAGAGAAGACATCCCCTTCTAGACCCACTCTATTTTACATGCTTATATAAATCAAAAACTTCTCTTACCTAAAATATGGCGACAAGATGTTACAAAATATCAAAAAAAATGCAAAAATATTTTTGAGAAAAAACATTTTCCGCATAAACAAAACATGGAATTTACAATTTCCCTAGCTTTGGTAGTACCCATGAGAACTTTTGTCATTGGAATTTAGGGCAAGGAATCCCAAATGTCATTTGAGTTTGATATTGTGTTTTATGTGAGCATCGTGCCATAATACACATACAGGGTGTTTCGAAAGTTGCTATTTAGTAAGGTATTTTAGTTTTTAATTATTTTAGTAAGTTAAAATTTTTATATTTAGAAAGATGATTAAATTATTTTGTAGTTGAATGTGATATTTGTGAGAAAAAAAATAAAATAATTATGGATTTAATGTGATATTTTGGATTGTTTTTGTGTGGGTGATTTTTCGACCACACTGCCCGCTTAGTAACCAGCTGGAGAGCACTGGCAGAATAGATGACACTTGACTGACCTGCAACAGAAATATAAGAATCCCGCGGTGGTTTCGACCACCCGGGGGTACTCCGACGATCAAGTCAGTATATCTCTCAAAGATAAATCAAGTACTAAACTCACAAGCTTGAGTATCAAAAGCATACCTTAGACCCATGGGGGTGCCTCTCTTTTATAGCCAATACAATCCTAGTCCCAAAAGGAGCCTGGCCCTAATGGACTTAGGATTACTGCTAATCTGGGACTCCCAGTGGGATTAAGATAAACTCTCTAAGAGTCTTATCTTTACCCAAACTGAAGTTTTCTCCCAATCTAGGACTCTTGTCCATATCCAAGTTGAGTTCCCTCTTCATTCTAGGACTCTTGTCCCTTATCCGCTTATCTCGGTTTTCGATATCTTCAGAGATAACCTCGGCCTTGCCGAGATCACCTCGGCATCACGACCAGGACACGTGGCACCTCGACTGACATGTCAGCGTCACCTTGCCACGTGTTGGTATGCAGAAAATATATCCCCACAGTTTTGAAAAAATAGTTAAAAACTAACTTTTTGATTTTTTTTTAGCTTTTTTTGAAAAAAACGTGTAAAAAATGTGGGAGATATGTGACCCAAAATGAGTTAAAAGCTAGAAATCAACTTTTAACTTGCTTCACAAAAGAACAATTTGTCTTATTAACTACTTTAATCCTTTTAACCTAAATTAAACTAAAATTTCACTTCCCAAACAGACCCATAGTATATACTACATACAGAACATTATTTTGTTGTCAAATGACTCAAATCTCCACTTCACATTGTGGTTGGTGCCAAAACATATATGTATGCATATGCATATTTTTTGTATTTGTTCACAATTAATAGCCATATTACACCATACATAATTTCATATATAGACCTAACCACAAGACTGATCTACATTGATGATATTCTTTTATTTTCTCCAGATGTAGATATGCAAGTAAATTTACTCATTAACTTTCTTTTTCTAATGCAATAATATGACATCATGCTCTCAGAAAAGAAGAAAAAAATTAAATTAAATCTCATGGACTCTGTGCTGCTAAGAAGGCATTGAAATCATCCCTTGCCTTGCGCAACCGAGGAGTAATGCAAGAAGTTGGCGAGGTCGGGTGTGATCCCGGTGACGAAGTCGAAAACCGAACATGTCGAGACGAGTCATGGGATTTCCTGCCTGCACTACAACAAAAACATACTTTAGTGGCACTACATTAGTGGCATATTTTTAAAAAATGTCACAAAAAATGATATTAAGTGGCACGTTTTTGAAAAATGCCACAAAATGACAAACATAAAGGTTTTAGTGACATTTCAATGAACAAGTGTCACAAAACTACAACAAAAACATACTTTAGTGGCACTACACTAGTGGCATATTTTTAAAAAATGCCACAAAAATGATATTTAGTGGCACGTTTTTGAAAAATGCCACAAAACGACAAACATAAAAGGCTCTAGTGACATTTCAATGAACAAGTGTCACAAAACTACAACAAAAACATACTTTAGTGACACTACACTAGTGGCATATTCTTAAAAAATGTCACAAAAAGAATATTGGGTGGCATATTTTAGAAAAATGTCACAGAACCATAAACATAAAAGGCTCTAGTGACATTTCAATTAAAAAAAGTCACAACACTACAACAAAAACATACTTTAGCGGCACTACACTAGTG